GAATTAAGTCTGTCAGGAGGTGCTGCTGGGAACCTCGCTGTCTGTCTGTCTGTCTTTGTCTATCTCTCTATCTGTCTATTTATCTATTTGTCTATCTATATGTCTCTGTGGTTATCTCTCTTGAATTTCTTCTTCTTCTTCTTCTTCTTCTTAAATTTCTTTTCCGTTTTTTTTCCTCTCTGCCTATCCTTTTCCTTGATCTTCTCTTCCTCCATCTACTTTTCTTCTTGTCCCTATCTTCCTCTTTCTCCTTTTCCTCCACTTCCCTTTCTTTCTCCTCTTCCTCCTCTTCCTTTTTTTTTCCTCTTCCTCCTCTTCCTTTTCTTTTTCCTCTTCCTCCTCTTCCTCTCCTCATTTTCTTTTTTCTCCTTTTTTTCATCCATCTCTCTTGTTCCCCCCATGCTTTCTTTGTCCTTATCTTTCCTTTCTCCTTTCTTCCATTATCTTTTTTTTTTTACAGGTTTCGTTTCTTAAAATCAATAGCTTTAATTTTACTTTCTCGTTTTACTTTATTTAATTTTCTCCAACTTTTTATTAAGTCACCATTCTTTTCTTTATTAATTCTTTTCCTCTTTAAATATAAATTTAGATTTATTTTATGATTTATTTGTTTATTGTTTGTCTGTTTGTTTGTTTTCTGTTTTTTTTTCTTCTTCTTCTTTTTTACGTTTTTATTTTCATTTTTTCTTATCATGTCTCTCTCTCTCCTTTTCTTTTCATTTTTTTTCCTAATTTTAGCAAATGCAAATCGGCGTTTTACTTGTGACGACAGAACAAAGTATGTGATTTCTAAAGTCTCCGTTTGGATGTTGGAAGAACATGGTAATTTTTTAATGTTAATGAAAGGTCATAGATATAATATATATACATATATATATTGTGAACGAGGCCAAAAAAAAGTACCGAAGAATTTTTATTATCTTTTATTATATTTAAATTTTGAATGTTTTCACGAGGCGATTTTGGTGGTGATGATGATGATGATGATAATGATAATGATAATGGTGATGGTGATAAGAATGATGATGGCGATTATGAGGATGATGAAGTGATGATGGTGATGATGGATTCCTTAACATGATCGAAATTTTAAATGTCATCGTGGGGGGGGGGGATGTATATGATTGGGAATTACAGAAAATGTGATGCTGAACATACGAGACGAATGAAAGGTCAAGATTGTTTATGAAATTAGTGTGGTATAGTGTCGACTGGGGTGAACGCTACAGAGAATGTACGGGAATCGGGATGAAATTTATACATTCGATGCTTTGAAAGTTAGATTTCCCCAGATATTTGACATGTATAGTTCTTGTTACTTTTCGTTTCATTTATTTGTTTGTGTGGAATTTTAAAATATGTAAACGGCTTCCATGAGACATGAAAGATTTCAGCAAAATTACGATCATAGGATTTGCTGTAACAAGTAACAATTATGAGAAAATTATATTTATTTCAGAATGATAGGAGCAAATATCTCCTCCCAGATGAAACTGGTGTTACAAGGTGTGATCGAATGACAATATTAATCGGATTAACTGTTACAATCATCAAGACTTGCAGTGCCTCCTCGTGGCCACCCATGGAAACGAGGCACCTTGCGGTCCTAGGCTGAACTGTGGAGGCTCTAAAGGTACGGAGTCATGGCCGGGCCTCGTATTAACTCCTGCCCCGTGCCCCCTGGGGTTCATAGGCCTTGCCACTCTGCCTCCCCAAGAAAACCTAACTGGCAGCAAACTTTATAGATGTTGGTGCTGGGCCTGGATAATGTCCCTCCTACCCAGCAAGTTCGGCCGCTGGGACTCGGGTGGGGAGGGGGGTTACCCGTCGTCCCACCTGCGTCCCGGCGGCCGCCAAGCTGGCGTGAGGCTTATGGGGGAAAGCCCCCGGGAACCCCGCAGGTGGATTATGGGACCTGCAGCCAGCCAAACCCCTCTTTATGAGGCGGCGTCGGTAGGAGCGGCAGAGGTGGCGCTCACCCAGAGTGACTGCCCGAGGTTAGACCTCAGACGGGCTGTCCGGGTGGGGGCGTGGAACGTCCGTTCACTGCGACAGGACGATCGGTTTCCATTACTGTCGAGGGAATTGAAGCAGCTGAGAGTCGAGGTGGCTGCTCTCTCGGAGGTGAGGAGACCTGGCAGCGGCACGATTAGTGTGGGTGGCTACACTTACTACTGGTCGGGCCGCAGCGATGGCCATCATCTCCAGGGAGTGGCCATAGCCATCTCCAGCAGACCTCAACCCTTGGTAGTAGAGCTCACTCCAGTCGATGAGCGTATTATGGTATTGAGACTGAAGCTTTCATTTGGTTTCATGTCTCTTATTGCTGTGTATGCTCCTACGGATGTATATGATCTTGAGGTGAAAGAGATGTTTTACACCAAACTTGCATCTGTGACAGACAACTATCCTCGGTGAGATATTCGTATTGTTCTGCGTGACTCCAACGCGGTATCTGGCTGCGATCGAGCTGGCTACGAGATGTCTGTCGGTCCTCATGCCTCAGGAGCTGGTGCTGGCAGCGAGAATAGCCTCCTTTTCCATGACTTTGCTAGGTCCCAGAAATTGAGGATTTCCCAGCTGAACTGTTAAAGGCTGATGGAGACCTATGGCAGGGGGTTTGCACGCTGTCCTGTCTACCATCTGGCAGACTGGTACCATTCCCCCTGACCTGCTGACCTCTGGAAGGGGAAAGGGGATCGGTGTGACTGCAGCAATCACTGAGGCATTACACTACTCAGTGTACCAGGTAAGGTACTCGCACACACCCTACTAAGACGTATCAGAGACCACCTGCTGAGGCACCAGAGACCGGAGCAATCTGGATTCACTCCTGGTAAGTCCACAATAGACTGTATCCTGGCACTTTGAGTCACTGTAGAGCGCCGTCATGAATTCGGACCTCAAGAAGGCGTTTGATACCAAGCATCGCGGATCACTCTGGAAGACTGCTGTAGTGTCGTGGGGGCTGTCGAGCTTCTTCCCTGTTAGTTCAGGCGTGAGGCAAGGCTGTGTTTTTGCACCAACACTTTTCAACACTTGCATGGACTGGATACTGGGTAGAGCTACTGTCTATTGTCACTGAAGCAATTCTGGGCAATATCAAGATTACAGACCT